ATCGATACTCGCTTGCATTTGATATATGCATTGGGACGACTGGGACCAGGAAGGGCTTCCAAGGGAGATGTGTAGAAAGTCTTGTTTAGCGCTCGAAAGCGTACAGTGAGGGACTTCTTGGTACCGCTTTTAATACTTCCAAGCCATCCTTTAGTGCTTCTGGCAACAACCTGACCACCAAATGTAGCTTAGCTTGCCTATCATTATTAACGCTGTTATTAGCTCACTGTTTACATCCGGTGACTTGTTGTAGCAAGTAGCCACCTAAAAATTATCATCATCATTTTGCTAGTCTCGCTATAGTACAGTGTATACTTCTAAATGCACAGTTGTGGTCATTTCGTTTTCAGGCAGCAGAGAATTTTGGGATATGTCAATTAGGCAAAAAATATGGTTTATTCTTATTTTTTCCACAATTATAATATTTGCCAGTTTTTGCATGTGTTTTTTAGCTGTCAGTCCGTCTTCTCTTTGTTTGTACACCTTCTGTCCTTCCTGCCATCTCCTACGATCTCGTAAACATGTGCTTACTTAAACACTCCGTTCCTTCAGATGCCCTCCTTCCCTTCCTCTCTCTCTCTCTCTCTATCTCACTCGCTCTCTTCTGCATTTCTTCGCCACCGTTGACAGGGCAACAGGCTAATTTCCATTTTCTTACCACTAAGGCCTAATTGGGACATGTATTCGCTATGGCGATCATTTGGACGTCTTTCTCAAAGTGACCTCATTCGGGGCCATCTGAACAGCCGCACAATCATGAAATCGGGATTCTTCACACCGCCCTCGCTGGCGCTATCACATTTTGTTGGTTTACGATATGCTTTTCTCAAAGCCCGGCTGACCCGATTCCGTTAGACCGCAGGCGACTAGCAGCTGCCATCAAGCCCATGTCGATTGTGTCAATGGCAGAAGGCCGAGTTCAGGTCATCGCTCTTCTGCCCTGCCTGGCGTCGTATTGTATTGCTATGGTCGTTTTATGCTCAGGACGGTGGAATTCGCCCTTTCTGTGTGTCTTTGGCGAACCAAACAATCCGCCATGTGTGCTTTTGAGGAGTGACAATTGAGTTTTCCCACAATCACCCATGAAGATTTCATTGTGCCATAGAAGTACACTTAGACTCGTCTTCTAAAAGACATTCTCGTCCCAGCCGTACTCGACTTCAGTTTCCACCTCGCTCAGGCGATCTTATCACAACTCCCAACATGATGGAATTTACTACAGTTTCCACATTTTAGCGAAGGGCTTGTCAAGGAGGCCTATCTTTATTTTGCTATCTAACTCTAATACACTACTTATGAACATAACGAGTAGTTTGAGAGAATGCCGTTACCCCTTGTATCCATGTCTAATAGGAATCGAGGCCATATCAATCGCCTTTATGATAAGCTATTTTGCACGAACCTTACTAATGAAGAAGTGGCCGACTTATTTGTTCTGACGCCTGGTCAGTGCAGCCACTTCCCCAGAATCAGAGTTT